AAGGAGGTTATTACACACAGTGCGAGAAACATTTTTTTCTAGACTAGGGCTTTGGTTGTGTTAGGCTTCTCTTACAACACCATTTAAAAGGACTAGGGTAGCATAAAGGTAATCTTCAAAGGCAAACCAGCCCCTCCCCAACCTGGCCCTTGCTGTACTTTCTTCCCCTCAGCTTACTGTTTGATACTCGTGGCAAGCAGAAAGTGCAATTTTGCTTTCTCTGCTTGCCAAAGAGAGTAAGAGGCATAGCATCAAATTTTACCAAAGGTGTTACATTGTCTTTTTGAAATAAAAAACCCTTGAAAATTAAGATGTTCTGAAAACAGCTTTTCTGTCTCATGTTTAGAGTCTTTAAATTAATGATAAACAGCCTGATGACCTATACAGTGATTGTCAGTAGTTCTGGCAAGAATGGTCATACTTGCTCCTTTATATTTTCTCATTGCCAGTCTTTCTTAATCAAAGTTGTAGCTGAAAACTGTAGAGGTTTTATGAAACAGTTGCATGCTACTTATTGTTTTTTGCAGACTGCAGTAAGGGAAAAATGGGCTAATGGGCTTAATGAGTTGATAGTTGCTCTTCTATATGCATTAGACATGATCATATTAACTTTAAATATTCCTAAGCCTGAATTTGTAGACATGTTGTCAAAACTGATTTCATTTTTTAATCTGTTTCCTTTTTGGTTTTATATTAATACAGCTATTTCCTTGCATATCCTGAATGGTTATTTTGAAAACAGTGTTCATACAGCATAGGATGATCTGTAATCAGTTATGTAATAACTACTGTTGATCACTGTATTTTCTTTGGTATTGTCTTGATTTTTATTTTTGATTATTTCTGTTACGTAACACTGCCCTCAGCTATAGCAATCAATTATTAATGAAGTAAACTTTGAGAGCGTAATGGGGCCACCTAAAATGTGTAAAAGATTTATCTATTAAATGGAGATAAGTGGGGATAGGTATCTTGCCAAAGGTCATAGGAAGAATTTATGAGCAAGGGAGTGTAACACATTTTCCTTTGTGTCCCATTCTCATCCTTGAATTATACAGTCACATTTCATGTGTATTTTCTACTGTTTTCCACATACTCCAGATATGTGTTATGGTAACTAAGTCCTCAAATGTGGTTCTAGATGTTGGGCCTCTGTGGTAGGAAAACAGTCTAGTAAGTGTTTTGTTGTTGAAGTGTTAGTGTTTATATTTTAATAACACACTTCTCTTTACAAACTGTTCTATTTTTCAGTAGTACTGTTTTCTTCTTTGTGTTTGTTTTCACCAATTTTGCTGTAAACATGAGATAATCTATTTGTTTGAAGTCTATTTTAACACTCTTAACCAATTAAAATTTGGTTTGCTCTTTACAGTTAAACTGTATTTGAGTGTATTAATCCATCACCCTTTGATTTAGCTCAGTGTGGTATATTTAGATGTAATTTTTTATTAAATAAGAGATTAGACTACCGTAAATAGGAAAAATGCAGGATAACGTAATTGCTTGAAATCAGTGAGAGGATAAACAGAGGCATAAAACTTCCTAGGAATTCATATATCCAGGAAGGCTTTTTTTCATGCTGTATTTGGAGAAAAAAAAAAAAAAGTGGACATGTGCAGAAACTGTGAGTACAATTAGCGTCAAGCAGATAAATCCAACTCTAATCCTGTTTACGCTCTACATCAGACAGATGTGCTAAGATTGATTTAGACAAGCCCTTGGCTTATAGCATTTTTTTTTTAAGTGCCATATATTCTGTTTTTGTTAGATCTTTGTTAAATGTTAAGTGCTGTTAGTTTCACTCTTTCCTAACGCCTGTAACCTACTTTATACAGGTTCCCTCTCTGTTCTCATAATGACAGGGCAGCCTGGTAGAAGAGATTATCTTTATTCCTTGTAATTAAATTGACTTTTTTTTCAGAAGATACAACAATGGGAAGTTGGTACTGAATTAAATAAATAGCATGATATCTAATAGATGTATACTTAAATCTCTTGCAAGAACAGATGGTACCCAATATCTTTCTAAGTAATATGAGAGGATAGTTAATGTCCTGAAACAGCTAGCAATAACCAATATGATACTAACGAACCAGTAGCTTTTTTTGAAGTTTAAAAAAGTATCTAATCCAATACATACTTTATTTTTAAAGTAAACTTGCTTGTTGTCACATACTAGAAATATTTTATAAAAGTAGCTCATGACTTACATTTTCTTTATCTGAATTGTTTTATAACATTTTACTGCATTTGCAATGATCTTATTTTCAGTAAAAATAGAAGATGAAATTATAGAATGTGCCTAGGGACTTCCATGCACATTTCTTTTCAACTTTAATAAAAATTGGCTGTGCTAATCCTACTAGCTAGTTCAATATTTCTTCTACAATTTTGAACTTGAGGATGATGCTTTTGAACAAATCAGTATTCATACTTCTTCAAGGTCTATCTGTAAATGCATTCCAGTAGATTGATTACGGTTAAATACTATTTTTGAAAGTGTAGTGTTGCCTAGTAAGAATATGTTAATTTAACTTTCAAAATTTTTAATGTGCATCTGATCAACACAAGAATTTGATAAATACAGAGTAGAGGAAGATGTAAAAGCAAATAGAAATCTGTCTGAAGTAGTAGCATGAAAAGACAAGACAAGCCTTACCTGGTTTATGACTAATTGTTGTTCTGTGAAAGCTAGTGGGGGAATAAAAAGTGTTTTAACGGGCCTTCATGTTACTTGGCTTGTGCAGGACAAATAGGTTGATGTTTGTAACTTATCTGTGATGCATAAGCATAATATTAGCATAACAGAATTTGTGGTATTCTCAGCAAAACTAATAGTTTAATCCAAAATGTTATTTCTTTTTAAAAAAATTTTAAACCAAAACCATTTAGCATATTTGGTCTGGAGGAATAAATGGTGCAGCTTGGTTGTTTCTGCAGAACAGTTGTTACATGTCTTTATCCATTTCCCTGAAACATTGAGTTAGCATGCTGGAATCTTCAGTGTTCTGTTTGTCTGACAGCAAGACTTGCTGGAAAAAGATAAGCAGACCCCTTGAAAATACTGGTTTTAAAATTAAAACACGTCTTAAATAAGGGTATTAAACTATGTAGTTCCAGATAAGTGATTCAGGATATCAGAAGTGTTTCATTTAAGGTGTGTAAAGACTATCTACCCCCAAATGTTTTAGAAGATCAATACAGATGTTTTAGAAGAGCAGTCCCCTGGTGTCATTCAATGTATTTTATAGATAAGACTTTTACATCAGTCGCTACAGTACTTCAAGCTTCATTTTGTTTTCTGTTGTTTGGTGAGTTTCCTCCTGTTTTATTTGCTGTGTACTTCTGAAAATCTGCACTGCAGTTTCCTGTGTGCTATGTCACTTCAAACAAACTTTACTTGTCTCAGTATTCCTGCTAAGAATGCAATGATCTTAGTCCGATTTTACACCTTAGTAGCTGACATATGGAGAAATGAAGATGGTAAAATATAACAAATTGGAAAAATGTGGGAAGTATAATAAGGTCATGCTTCTATCTGCAGTAGGTTACTTGGTAGGGAACAGGAAAAAAAGGGTTGGTTGAAAATTGGCAGGAGGGGTGATACTGACTTCAGCTTTAGCTGTGTTAGCACTGCGGAGGTGCAGACTTCCAGGATTATATGGATAGAAGGATGATCACTGCATAGTCTGGTTCAAGAAATGATGTTGAGAAATGCCAGTGTCAGACTGTTACAAGAATTGATGCAGGCTTCTTTTTCCTGCTCAGAGGAAGTATGACTTTCTGAAGCCCTCAGCTTCATGTGGTGTAATGAAGTAGGGTGATCCTTGATTTGCAGTCTCACCTGCAGTGCTGTCCATCTTTCCCAGGAAGACAGTTAAAACAGACTTTTGCATCTTCTCCCTGGCACTTCAGTACAGAGTGCAGCAAATATTCATCAAACAGAATCTGTTATGGCTTTTACTATTGAGAAACCACTTGACTGAGCGGTTGCTAGATATGGGAAAGATTTCTGGTTTCTACCTTTTCTTGCCTTGGGCTGCAAAGTGACCTTTATTCGTATAGTGTATCAGATCTGCTGTAATTACAAAGAAAGCAGGGAAACTTGTGTCCAGAGTATCTGACACCTGCAGGAATGGTGACATTTTTCCTTCAGTCTGTATATTTGACTTTGTTTTTGAGGAATCGGATATTTTACAGCTCAAGAGAGCAGAAAAAGAGAAGTGTGTACCAGAATGGTTTGGTTGATAAACCTCCAGCAGGCTTTTGGAACTAGTGTCACTGAAGTGATAGTGTCAGTAGCCACAGGGTCCATGTGCAAAACAGCCCTAAAGGAAGAAAACATTCACTTAGTGTTCCAGATGAACACAAATCTCCACTGGGGTGAGAGTCTTGAACTGTCATGAGTGAAGTTCAAGAACAGTTTTTCTTTTACCTGTCTTCTAAAGTAAATTCATAACTTAAAGATAAGATGGGTGGCATGCTTTTAGTTTATTTTTCTATTTTTGCTTAACTGTTTTCTGATGTGTCTTTAGTCTAAACTGAAAAGGCAGCAGTTGTATCAAATGAATAGAGCATATAGTCAGCTTGGGTCATAGCACACTTTCTGATCCATGATTTAGGAGAATACAAATGCTATGGTTGCTGTGATTTAGGAGAATACAATGAAGAATTTGCTTTTTGTACACAAATACAAAAAAAAAGTGGCTCACTCTTCTTAGTGTCTGCAATTTTATTCATTTTTTTTGAATACCAGAAAAGAGATTAAATAACCTCCTTGAACTCCTGTTATTTGTGTAGATGAATACCTAACCGAAATAACAGAAAGTTGGTAAAATACCAGACCAGTGATTGAGGCAAGTAATATGCAGTAAGTTTCAATAGGCATAAGCAGATGCAACAAGTGAAGCTAGAAATGAAGCCATAACAATATTTTTTTTTTTTTAGATATTAGTCCTAATCGTATTGATAATATTTATTTTTTTTTTTTTCCCCTACAGGTGGTTCCAGTGTGGATTTACAGGCTCAAGAGGAGATGATTGAAATGAAAGATGTATTTTCAGTAAAACTGAAACGTCGTCGTTTTGTAGGGCAGAAAAAAGGTGGTACTTTGTTGGGTATCACAATTTTTAAATGCTTGAATAAAGAAGATAATAAACTAACAGACTGTGCTATCCATTTAAATAACTTAAGTGAAGATCATTGTCATTCATGGTTTAGACATCTAAAGGAAATTTTGAATGGTAAGGATTTAATTGGGGTTGATGATATTATTTCAGGATTGTTTCTATTGGCAGTACATAAGGTTGAGTGAAGCTTAGAAAAATATTTTGCCTGTGGAAATTAAGACACACAGATATGAATGTTATTGCTGGAAAATGTTTACTACTGAAGTTCTACATGGCGAAGTATAAAATTCAGGAAGGTGACAATAATTGATGAATGCATCTGTAAAAGTTAAGCAAGTTGATGCTGTTTTTTGAAAGTGTTTTGGAAGCTACTGAAAATAAGCAGCTTACTGTATTCTGACTGGAGAGTCTCCTGGGAAATCTGTTTCTTAAAGAAGTAAAATATTTTGTTGATGTTTTCACTTGGAATTGCAGCACATCTGATGGTGCTACAGTTGTTGCAGTCCTGGGAACTCTTCAGGGACTTCCTGCTGACTGTTTAGGAGCTCCCACTTGAGAGCTGCAGATTCTTTAAGAGCCTAATGGGAGAGGTTTTCCTCCTCTTCATAAATTCACAGGTGGAAGTGCTCTTAAGGTTCTGTAGGACTCTTACTGTATAATTTGATACAAAATTCATTGACAGTAGCTAGTGATGAGAGGGAATTCTTTATTTTAAAAGTATCTTTTTGTGTTTCCTGGGCTAATGCCAGTTTCAGAATGCTTTGCTTAACCCATGATAGCTGCTTTTTCTTCATGGAAGCTGTATCAAATTTAAGAAAAGAAGTATGCACCATTTAGGGAAAAAACCCTTCCAGAAATCAAAGCCTTTCACTGTAACTTAATACCATCAATATTGGAAAGACACAGAATATAGCACACTTCTGATTTAAAAAAGCAAAGCAACAAAAAGCGCCCCACAAACCAAACTCTGATTTAGCTCCAAAATGTGTCTCTGTTTACAGACTATAGCAAATGAGTTTGTTTATCATGGAAGAAAAACAATCCATCTTTATAATAGACCATTAAAACTCCAGCTGAATTGTTAATACTAAACCAGATTACAGAATTCAAATCTTACACATCAGTAGTGTTTGTAAGAACACTTTCAGTAGTGATTTATAGCGTACTTCTAGTAAAGTGACTTTGTCAGAAGCAAATATTAGAAAAAGTAAAATAACATGAGTTATTAACAGTGCATTCTTACATTATTTGCTTTACAATATGCTTTGGATTTTGAAAATAAAAATGTGCATTAAAAAGTGCCTTCCCCTGTCCCTTTTTGAAAGACTTTATCACAAAATATCTTAATCTGCAGAAGTGCCAAGATTCTTGCAGATCTCCAGCTACCCATAAAGGCGAGGACATTTGCATAAGGAGCAAATGTCTGTTTTGTTCCCAGATTACCCTCCATCCATCAGGAACAGTGATACCATATGTTCACAGAAAAAAAGCTGCAGTATCTCTTGCTCAGGTTGCCTTGACTTCGAGGTACAGCCTCTGTTTTATAGCTTTGTAATGGGAAGCCACCTGAACCTGAAAAAAAGCATTCTGTGCAATGTTGCTGTTTCTAGTTCTTCCCTCAGTTTCAGTCTTTCTCCAGAAGCTCAAACCTTGTGCAGATTTTTCTTGGTCTCTATTAGTACATTTTCCTCATTTCCTTCTACTTCAGGAATAATCAGCACTCAGAGGGGAAAAATAACTAAAGACAATCCCCAAAATGCCATTTACTAATGTGTATATTGCTTTAAGTTCTGTAGTTACAATAAAAGTAGTTTTCACACTGTTACATTTTGAAGTATGAGTAGACATTCAAGCTGCCTTTTTATCCAGAAAATCACCAAAAAAGCAGCAGCATTTCTGCGTTCAGTGTGGCAGACACACATTATCAGTAATTCAAACAGTGTTGGTATAGTAATGGTATAATTCAGAAAAAAGTCTTCTGATTTAAAATGTACCAGACATTGGTAGGAAGTTCCCAGTGAGATTCAAGTCTGGATTAAAAGTATAAAATGTAGATAATTTCTGTTGATTCCTCAGTAACTGAAATCTCAGAAGGCACATTGTTATAGCTCTTCTTGAAATGGTGATGAATTTTCATAGTTTTGCCACAGCTTGTTTTCATAATAGTGCTGGTGACATCTTTTGTTAATGAACTCAAAACTGCTCCTTTTTGGTTTCCTTAGGAACTGCAGGATAAAGTTAAAATTTCATCCTTGTAAAAATTTTGGCTTTTTTTTTTTTTTTTTTACTAATCTATCTGATTACAAAGTAAATTTTCATTAATTGCTGCATTATTTACTTGAAGGGTTTTTTTTATTACTTCTAGGCTGGAGCAAATTAAAAGCAAGTGGTTTACCAAAGTAGAGCGTATGTATATTTGGGTATAGCTGTCAGTAAATATGTACTTTCATTTGTCAGAATGGCTAAATATTACTAAAAGGTGTGTCTCTTTTGAAAATAAATGCAGTTTCTATTTATTTACCTTTCTCTGACAACTTTTTAGATTTTTATGCACATACATTTAACTAAGGAACAACAACAGCAAGTTTATCAACAATGATACAAGCTAATGTTTTATCTGGAGTTTTGTTCTAATTCAGATTTTTTTTTTTTCTGAAATATCATGTACACAGTTTCCCATTTACTCTGTTTTGTGTCTGACACAAATGTTTCTTCCATGTTTTTTCCTGTTCATTCTTACTCTCTTGAGTATCCTCTGTTGCTTTTGAATCTGCGTTCAGAGTACTTAAATTCAAAGTCTAACTATGCTATAATTTTTTATGAAGCCTGTCATCATATAAGTGAGCACTCAGATATAATATGGTTGCTTAGAATTTAGTTACAGTGGCTGCTGTTACGGGTTTTTGTGTGTGTGAGACAGGGTAACAAAACACATGTACTACCATCTTCCCACTTTTAAATAAATTCTACTCTTCCTCAAAACGTTGCTGCTGTTCAGATTCATGCCAGCTAGACATGAAGAGCTTGCTCAGTGATACGATATTCAGGAAAACTGATCTTTTGTGTATTTGTTAAACTGATGTAAAATAACCACTGCCATCTTAAGGCATGTACCTATGGAGCCTTGGTTGTGGACTGGCTCCTGCAAAGACCCAAATGGCAGCCTAAGCTGATTCTAGTATGTTGTTGGTCTCACTTCAGACCTGTTGCGCACCTGACTCCGTGATTTCCATTTATACATCACATCTTTTTGTACTGGACTTATGGGCATGTACAGTGGGGACATAATGTGTCAGTGGAATTTACTGTTTAATTTAAAATCATCTGTGCATGCAAATATCCAGTGTTTCTTAAAGGGTTAGGACAGGCCCAGAAATAAGAGGATGTGTAATTATCAATTCTTATTTGTTTTTAAAAATTTTTTTTTAGCAAGATAAGACTTGTTTTTATTTACAGTTGATTTGAAAAAGTCTTACTTAAAAACTCTGTAAACTAACAGAAGACAGTAAATATGGTTAAGAATAACTGATAAAGTAGCAAAAAATGGATGAAGTGCATTTTATTTTTCTCTACTATTCTGTAGTATCTCCCACACTGGGATTTGATATGAATGTCTGAAACTTCATGCATGAAGTTTTAATTAAACCATTAATGTTAAACATTAACTTTGGTTAGTTAATATTAACAGTGGTGTCTCCATAGTTACATTAACAAATCTATCTCATATTATTAGTTTTTCTCATGTATAGTATTCTTACTGTTGTATAAAGTAATTATAAGTGTATGCAGTAATGACATGATTCCAGGCTCTTAACTTTTGTAACATAAACCCATTTTTATAAAGCTAAGAACTGAAAGCAGCACAGATGTATGTCTGAGCATAGCGTCTCTGCTGCCCTATGAGCCTTTGTTTTCAGAACACCCTGATTGACCCACCACCCTTCATGGTTCACTGATTCACTTGATAGATCAAGTTTAAACTAGTGCATATTAGCACATTTGTTAGTACTAGAGGAACAGTTGGCCTTCCTGCTTTAGGCTGCTGGTTCATTTCAAATGGAGCAGCCACAGAAAACAATAACGGAATACCAGTTAGGAGAACACCAAAAGGCTGACAGACTGAAATCAGTTGCAGACTGTAGTAAATGACATTGATTCATTCATATAGTTGTTGTTTAAAGAAAATTTTATAATTATTTAAAAATAATTTCAAAGAAGCTTCACTATATAATTGTGTGAAAGTTTTAATTTTTGAATGTTATTGGATATTCTTTCACTAAATGAAGTTGTTTGGTGTGTTATAACATGTCCAGTGTGTGCTGGGAATAATAAATAGTATTTTTTGTTGTGATCATCCTTTCATGTCAGTTAGCAGAACAAACAGAACCACATCAGTAATGTGCCATTATCTCTCTATAAATGCCTTGTTTGTAATATATATTTCTACAAACAAAATAGTTTACATCTCTAAAAAAGTGAATTGATATTCAAGTAGTCATAAAGAGAATACTCTAACACTTTTATCCTGTGAATTCCTTTGGTTCTTGAAAATCTCACTAGGATTTATGTATTAACTCTGATCTACTTTTCAACAATAGCCTAATATATGTCACTGTAAATACTGTTCCTGGTTTAGAATCATTTAATGAATGAATTTTTAGTTTAAAAAGATAAACAAGCCCAAACCAAACATTCAACTGTTTCCTTAAAATCTTGCAATTTTTTTCCCATCAATTGAAAAGTTGTATTCTTTTGCCTGCTTCTGATTTCTTTTAAAACTTTATATTGACACATAGGGCTTAAATTTTTACACCTAAAACTCAAAAACAGTTAAGTGACATATCAGTGTTCGCTTTTTTCCCTTCAGTTTTCTCCTAATGGTGGTTTAGCAGTATTGTAACTTGCACTGTCTGGGTAACAATTTATGGCCCTTCATCACCTGTCTCTACTTCTACAAACTCTGTACTTTCCTATGCTTTCTCTCTGCTTTGTGTATTAATATATGTGTATATATTTAAGATTAAAGGTATTCCTTACTTATAAATCAAAGACTCTGTAGTCAGCTTTTACAGTTTTGTGGCTCTGGGCATTGGTGAGGGTTGAGCATTTAGAGCCAGCTGATCAGAGGTAGGAGTTCCTTTAGAGAAGATAAGAAACATGACAGCACATTTATGATTGTGGCTAAATCTTTGCTCTTTTAAATCACGACTCCCGATTCTTGTAGTTTTCAATTTAATTTCTATTGACACTTTAGGCAAAATACCAAGTCACAGAAATTATTTTTTTGTCTTAATATTTTTACGACTTCTAAAAGAGTACAGCAATACCAGATGGCAGATTTCCATTGAGTGTCTTGAATAACGACTATTATAATATTTTTATGATGATGTTTTATGTGTTTTAATAGTTTCTGTGAACTTTTGTGTAGCCTTCCTTGCTTATGTTGTAATTCCTATGGTTAGGAATTATACTACAGTACATACCTGCAATGCTTGTTTCTGTTTCGAGAGAATCAAGAATAACTTAGTTTGGAATGGACCTCTGGAAATATCTGTTCCAGATATTCACCCTGCTCCTGTGTCAAGTTTTATCTAGGTTATGACATATACTTTATTTTTCTGGTTCCTACAATGTTTTGGTTAGCGTGTGATTAATTTCTACTGTTTATTAGCTGTACACACAGAAGTAATCAGTACTGTAATTTTAAGATAAATGGCATACATCCAAGAAGAAATTGAGACTTCCTTTAGACTATAATTTACTTATCCTGTAATGGTAAACATACTGTAATGGTTCTAACATTAAAAATTCATTTAAGCTGAAAAAAGAGTTGGGCTCTGTGTAACCTTAAATGTTTTGTGTTTTCTTTTTAGGCTTTCAGAATAGACCAAAATCCTTAAAAGTGTTTGTTAATCCAAGCAGCCACAAAAAAGAAGCCACTCATGTTTATTATGAACAAGTTGAACCTCTTTTTAAGCTTGCTGACATCAAAACTGATGTCACAGGTGAGTTGCTTCAAAAACATAGCTTAATCCTTTGTGAAACTAGTACTTAAGCATGCAAGACAATTTGGATTTACTGGTAATCCTTATTGGCTTTGGCTTCAAGCAGTGAATTTGGAACTGTAGTTAATACAATACAATATATTTTTATTTAATCAAAAAATGTTTTAGTAATTCTGTTATTCATTGACTGTTTTTCCCTTGTAGCTGTCAATACTAGTAATATATTTTGGGTATTTTTTAAAGCAAACATTCTATAAAAAGAAGTAAACATTTAATGTATGACAGTCTTGTATACGCTTGCTAAGAGTTGTTCCTGCATTCTGACAAACACGCGTCCTTAAATATTACTTCTCTTCTGAGAACATTTATTGGCCTGACATGGTAAGAGTGGCTTATCTGAAGGACACATTATTTCTGGATTCTGACTCAGTTTCAGGGATGACCTGGAAGCCTAAGTGATTAAGGTCTGTGATGACAAGGGCAGTTCTCACAAGGCACATGGGCACGACTTGGTGTCTGGAGAATGTGAAGGTACAACTTCAGTGTTGTAGTGATGCTGCCTTCTGCTCAACAGTGTGTTCCTGGTAGCAGGGTTGTATTTAAAAGCTCCAATTTCTGCCAGAGTTCTGCTTTATGTCCTGAATTTACCCTTTGGCTGTTTGATTTGACTGACTTTTTATAAGAAATTGAACAGGGAAACAATGAGTTTTCTTACAGCAGTAAAATATTAATGATCTGATCATTACTTCTGTCCCCTTCAGGAAAGAGATCAAAAGTTATGCTGCATCAAATTTGGTCCCCCAAAACACCCAAGTTTACAGATAAATGGTATTAGTATTTCCCATTCCAAGTAATTGTTTATCGATAGTGTTACAATTCCCTTTAATACGCTGCTAATTTTGATTATGCATTTCATATCTAAGTGTAAACTCTGGTGCAAGACATTTTAACACCAAAAAGTATTTTTCCTATATCTTTTGCAATTTACGTGCAAAACAATCAGTTCCAGCTTAAACAAATTACAAAACAGAAGGCTCATCCTACAGTTGTCCCTTAAACTTCTTGTGAAATCATGACTAGTTCAGGTTGCAGGCCAAAAATCATTCTGAGCAAATCTGATTTAGGCATGAGGATATAATAATGCAGTAAGTGTTTGTATATGACATTTATCATGCTAATTTTATTACCTATATCTGTGTATTTTTTTTATTATTATTTAGCCCACAATTTAAAGTAAAATCAATTGAAGATTAAAGATGCGCAAGAATAAGTGTGGAAAAGATTGTCTGTGTTAGAATTCTGTAGTGATAATTTCTCAACTTCCCTTAATTGATAAGGGAATGCCAGCGGCTTTAAGTTTTGATTCTCACAGGCATACTTTTCACCTTCAAGTCGCAGACAGTAGTGTGAACAGATTAATAATAATGCTGTCTTTAAAACTGAAATTTGCCTTGTTTGGTCACAATTAAAAAAAAAAGTTGTTTTTTTGTCATGCAAACCTTAGTTAGAGATAACTGACTGTCATATTGTTAAACTAGTTATTACTTTAAGTAATTATTTAAAGAAAATTACCTTTTTAAAATTTGATTCCTTACTACTCATTAGTGTTTCTTTTATCTTTCTGTGAACATAACCTTATTTGCTAGAATCTGTTAAAGGCAGCATTACCATTAACCTGTGTAAGATTACATTTTTAGCTATGTAATGTCACCAGGTATCCTAAAGCTGAACTAATAGGTCAAATCTGTATCAATAATTTTTAGATTAATTAATAGAATTTAATATAAACTATGACTATAATTTGTAGCAGTTTAAAAAATATTTTTCCTAATTGAATAAAATCAGTTTAAAGTTTTTTTTAATTATTATTTTTCTTTTAAATTTTGAAAAGAAACTTCTGGTTTTATTCAGATAAACGTTTAATGGCTTATCCTTAAAGTACAGTTATTTTGGCAGTGTCCAAATACTATTGTGCTTATTAGCTGCCTGACACTCCTCCTACAGGCAAAATAAGAAAACTACATTACAGTTTTAAATTCTAGTAGAGAACGGAATTAAGAACATGGATTTTTAAAAAAAAGGGGGTTTGGGATGGGCATGTTAGTTGGTGCTGAGTGAAAGTCCTGTCTACTGGTACCATATATTAGTAAAACTAGGTGCCTTGTTTCAGGTAAATTGAACAGGTTTTTTCCTTCCCATAATTGTTCTGGATTTTGTGAAGTTGGTGTGTGCATCTTGCTGTTACTGCTTTTTTGAAACATGACCAATATTTACATACAGAGTATTGTACAAAGGTGTATTAGGTAGTAAAAGTTGAAGGCTTTTGTACAGTTTTTACAGTGAAGATAGTTTACTTGTAGTCTTTTCACATATATGTTTGAAGATTTAAATTCAGTACACAAAAATCTTAAAGCAAATTTGAAGCTCTGAAATGACTTCCAGTGCATACACAATACAAGACTTGCAGGTTACTTAAACAACCCAACCCAACAAACTTTGACAGTGGAGTGCTGAAAGACAGAGCTCTTCTTATCCAATCTTATATTTGGTAGCTGGCTGTTGCTTCCTATGTGATCAAGCTTGACAGATCTTATTCTTCTTTTGGAATAAACTTTTTTTTTATTGAGAAGTTTGCATTGAAGGTATTCTCTCCTACTCATGGATATACAGCAGTCAGAAGGCATGTATGTAAATGAATTCTGAAACAGCATTTACTTTCTTCAATTATCTTTTGCCAAATTACTTTGTATGCTACAGCAGTACTTAAAAACTGGTCTTTATCCAGTCTTTTAAGAGTTTGGCAATCTTGAGTGCTGCAGCTGGGATAAGGCTGTTAGGAGAACAACAGTGACTCTTCCAAAAATCCAGTTCAACAAAAGCTTGCTCCACATCTGGGATACTTAAAGTACTGGCAAATGTAGCGATAATTTGAGCTACTATTTTAGAAATATGTTAGTATCTTGCAAAATCTTACCTTTATTTATTTTTCTTTAATAGGTGTAACCCCAACAGACTCCTAGCTTGTCTTACTTTTCTTTCTAGTTTTGACTCTTCTGCTTCTGTTTATGCATAATTACGAGCCTGATGTTTAGGCAAAAATAACGGCCGTCCCTACGCCCCCATTGGAAAAGAGACCGATTGATAATTGGACAAATAACATTGGCTTAAGCTTACTATACAGTAAATAACTTTTTTTTTTTTTTTCATCCAGTGTCAACACTAGTTAATCTGTTGTTATCATTAGCAGTTTTAATCCTACTGACATTAGTCTGTGACACTAGTGCCAGTATTTATACGTGTTATACTGAGGCGTCCCATGTTTGTTGCTTTTCCTAGATGTAGGGGCTGAACCCTTAGTTTTTTGTTGGTTATATGAGATAGTGTTACAATGTTTTAGAGTTTGTGATTCTGTTCAAATGAGGTACACTGTCAGTGCCCTTCTTTCAGAATGCTGTTACTTGTAATGTGTACAGGAATTCACAAGTTGGGAAGAAAATGTCCTTGAAAAAGGAAAACCTTTTCAGTGATGCATTAGCAATAGTTGAAAAAAGCATTAAATAATATTTTTGTGATAGTACTTTTGTCAAATATGCGATCTGAATCCTTCTCAAACAGTGAAAGAAGCTCTTTCTTCCTCAACAAATTTTTTTTTAATTATTTTTTTTTTAATCTGGCTTTGTGTTTTTTTTGATGTTGTAGGTTTTTTGTTTGTTTTTTTTGTTTCCTTCCCCCCCCCGAATTGGAATGGGACCAAATATTCAAACATCTAGCTTTTTTTCAGCTATCAGAGTGACTTTTGTGTGTCTCTCTGGATGTTGTCAAGCCTGAAGAAAACTTTAGACATGATCTTTTTATGTCTGTGAAGTTTTTACACTTGATCCATTTGCTGTATGTTCTCATGAAGTTTTCCCTGGAAACTTATTTTTTTCATTACCTGTTTGTCACAATGTTTCAAAATAGATGCTATTTACCTCTGTCATTCTTTCATCAAATTTAAAATTTCTTCGAATCATCCCCAGTGTTAAGTCTTGCAGTAGTCCTCCTATATAATTTCCAAACTTAAGCTATTAGATGCAAAGAAGGTGGAGTCCCCATCCATCTGGATGACACTAGTAATTTTTACTGCCTTTATTGATTTCTCTGTAGACGTGAGTCCTCTTATTTTCATGTCTTTGTTCTTTGAGTGATTTAATTTTGTAATAGTAAACATAACTTGCATACATCACATCAGGAAGCCACTGAGCATGTTTTCTTTTACAAAATAAAATCTTTACTGTACCATTTTAATTAGACTGTACTCATAACTTTTTAAATGTTGTGTTAATTTAAAAGGCATGTAACCTGGTAATGAACTGTATGTTGTCATGGGAAGAGTTTCTTTCACAGTTAAGCAATGGTAAGATATTTTGAACTTTTCTGCATTTTTGCATGATGCACAATTTTATTGGTCACTTCCTACAATCTACAAATAATGATTAAAGGATAGTTCCTATCAGCAAAAGTGAAACTGAGTATGATAGCTTAAATATTGTGCTTTGATCTTCCAGAGAGGTCTTGCATGAAAGTAAATCCTGTAAATAATTCCTGAAAGATATTATAGTGATAAGTATTTCTGCAGCAAAAATATAATTCTCTGCCTTTGATATAATCAAAATAACTCTAGTTTTTAATTAAGAATTTCTAAAACACCAAGCACTTGAATTTTGCTAATCCTCGTTGGGAGATTTTGAAGTTATATGCTGATATAAAATTGTTTAATATGAAGTGTAAAAATGTTATCATTTTTATTTTGATTTATTTTTAAAAAAAATTATATATACACTCACTATATATACACACATTCTTGTGTGTGGATATATACATATATATAGGGGGAGAGAGAGGTGTTTTTAATTCTTGTAAGCATCAATTGAATAGTCTGTAGAAATACTGTTATAACAGGTACAGATACGGAATGATTGTTTTAGACACCAAGACTAATAATTTTAACAGTGTTTAGAAACACTGGAGAAAAGCCATGAACTATGCTAGCACCAGGGACAGACAAGCATGAAAGATTAATGTAATTTTGCATATAATGATGCACATTCTTACACAAAAAATCCATCTGCAAGTGTCATGTCAGTCAGCAAAAATCTTTGATGGGTGGCTGCAGCTGGGCTGTCTCTTCTGGCAAAGCTGGCCTAGAAAATGCTAAATGTAGTTATGATGCTTTGTGCCATCTGTAGTATGCCAGTTTATCCTGTCTTCACTGGCATTTACAGTACTATATAGGGTATCAGCAAACACAGAGACATCAATGTAGAGTGACAGATTCATTTCCTCCAGAGGCTATGAACTCTGGTGTATACTTATGCCACCTTCCTCTGTGTGTTATATTCTGTTGTCACTGGTATTTGGCTTGATTTCATACTTCTGTGTTTAACTCCTCATATTTTTGATTTAGCAATTTGCATATCCTAACACAAAGGCAATTAAATTTGATTGATACTGAAATAATTCAGTCTTAACTGAGGATATGCTTACATTTTCCTGAAGTTTACCAACTGTGTCAATGCTGAAACTTGCATTTTGATGCAATAAACATCTTCTCTATTTCTCTGAATTTAATGCAGTCAATAGCCATGTGTCTGGCAGCTGAATTTTAATGTCTTGCCTTTTTAGCTAGTGTAACTGTAAAACGTACTTTATCATACTTCCAATGCATTTAATGATTTTTAAAAAATAATCTGGATTACTGTATGTTCCTTATTTTAGAAGGGTGAAAAATTGAAAAAAACCTTTTAAATTACCTAATCTTCTGATAATATTTTCCACAGTAACTGAATATGAAGGACATGCTCTCTCAGTACTTAAAGAATGTGAACTCCAGGCATTTGATGGGTAAGTTGGTTAGTGACGATGAATGTTAGTAAAACTCATCACATTAGTTTTTATTTGTATTCTATCCAAAACTATGCTAGTAGGTATTTCATGATTTACTCTGTTTCACACAGATATTAAGCCTGAGAAAATCAGTTCTCATTAGATGTTTTTTATTACTTATTGACCTATATGCTTTATGAAATCTTCAGTCTCTGCATTTTCAAGAATGGCACAAGTGCTTTGTATTTCACTCTGTCCATTCAAATGGTTCTAAAGGCGAATGTTTTATCTAAAAGTAACTTGAATGTTTTTTTCCATTTAAAAAAAAAAATTCAAACTTACTTGACATCAAGAGTGAAAAAGCTTATTCAGTCATTTTTAAAGACATTGCTATGTGGATTAATCTTGCAGTCCTTGGTATTTTTACATTAATCATTCAATAATATATAAGAATAGTTTTGCATACTGTGGAAGTCTTACAGCTCTTATCGGGCTATGCAGTGAGCCATACAAGAAGTTTTAAATAGTGTTTTATAGTCTAATCAATTCCTAATAGTTCTAGGAAGTCACAGAGTTAGGTGAGAATATTCATCTGAAAAGGTACATATTCCAGATTCTGAGGATAATTTCTTTCTGATAAGACATGTCTTTTGGGGTGCTAGCTAGGGAACCAGTTTGTCCTGAGAAGTAGATAAGAAGACAGAGAAGAAAAAGCCTGGGTTGTATCTTCTTGCCCAAACCCCTTCTACTCTGAGTCATATTTGAGTTGTTTTACTTTGATCATTGGGTAGAGTCACTGGAGTACTTTGCCTGTAAGACTTCTCTCCAGTAGCCAGAACTAAGTGCAAATAAGAAGAGAAGAAGCTGGAAAAAAATAACCCTTAAATCAATATGATGCTAGGATTTCTGAGGTGAAAAGATCTGTGTCCTTTCTAAGTTAGCTGTTTAAATGTTTTTTAATTTTTTCTCATGGGGAAATTAAGTAGCTTTTATTATCAGAGGTTATGAGCAAAAATGAAATTTCTGAAGTGTTTGAAAAAATGAGTTTTGTAACTTTTCAAATAGCCTGGCCTCCATCTATGTACTCATTCAATAAAGCACAATACAGGAAACATCCTATTAAAGAGCTAACTTAGGATGCTTTTTAATACAAGATCATAGGGAAGATGAGTTGCAAGGGTAACTCTCTACACTTATGTATCTAGAGGTATCTTAATTGCTATTTTCAGGTAAAATCTAAAGAGACTGATAGGATGAGGTCAGCATTCATATTATGCTAAAGGACTGATTCTTTGAAAAAGAAAGCTACAAAACGTCACTAGTCTCTCTCATCTCTTCAACTCTTTAGAGTTGTTCCTAAGAACAGGAAAAGAATATTTGAAGTTGGTATTTTCTTTTTCAAATTTTGTAAAGGCTTATGGTGTACTTTCAATTAAGTTCCTGTGAGGTCCTTTGTGACTTCCCCATTGCTGTTTAGCCTCATAATTTTTGCCATAGATGTAGATATCTTACAGGCCACCAAAACCACCGCAGTGTTTCCCAAATAAAATTTTAATGACAATTTTTGTGTATTGAAAATTAAACTAGAAAATGTATGGGATCTGGTTTGAGTTTAAAATTAACTCCACAGCAGTGAAATTGTCCTACTGATGAAAAATCATGCTTTTAGCAATTCTAGAAGCCACCTGACATAATGTCTTTTCACTATTTCCATTAAGTCTTGAGAAATTTTACTTCTTTATTGAGCAGCATTGCTTGTGACTTGGCAGGCTTCAGTTCTTTCCTGTTTTGCCCTGGCTTCCTGTCCAGTTTTGTTCAATTCAGAAACTGTATCTGTCACTTAGCTCCCTGTTTAGAAAATGGAATAGTACTTCTGTACCTCCTTTTAGATGTGGAAGGCACTAAATATGATGGTGAGGGGTGAGGTAGTTTTTGTGCTATTTCTATGTGGCAGAGTTCGTGTAGACGTGATCTGCCTTGCCCAAGCTCGGAAGTAACTGGAGGCAGGTTGGGTGTGGACTGAAGGCCATGCCTGCATGTGTTACTCTGCTACTCTAACTCAGCTCCTGCTTTTCAAGTGTTGCCTCGTTCAGATTGACTGATAGCTGATCCCAGTGAAAATGTATAAAGGGCAAGACACAATAGTATTTTTTTATTATTTACACTAGGTTAGCAGTATAGCAACATACAATTTCTGATCTTGAATTTCTTTCTAAGAGAGTTATGCTTCCTTACATGTTAAACAGAATGTGAAGTAAATTGAAGCTTATGATTTGCAATAGTAAATTGGAAGTTTGTATCTCAGTGCTTGCTGTAAGCAATACTGCTATGTTTTAATTCTTTGTCAAAGCTGTTTGTTTCTATATATCATGTATTTTCACTAATTTCTCCAGTTCCCACTCTGTTTTGCAGGATCATAGGCATATGTCCTGTGTCTCATATACTCCACCTTTTTTGCTGTCCACTTTTTTTTTTTTTTTCCTTACCGACACTGGAACTTTAGGTACTTTGCCATCTTGGCAGTGTGGTTTTTTTTCCCCTGCCCTGGGGCCAAGCATTGGTGACAAATAGAAAGCTTTTGTGATGCTGCAATCTCAGCTGCATTTTCTTGTTTGTACAGTGACAGAAGTACACAGTATACATGCATGTATTTCTTCCCTAATCAGAAGCCTAAGGTATTATGGATATTGTTTAGCCCAGGTCAGTCAGACTTTAGTGAACAGTTGATGAAGAAACTTGTGTCTGATGGTTAGACAGATGTTTCTTCCTCTACAAAACCTTCTTCAAGGTCTTACTCAAATCTGTTTGCTCAAGACTTTCTGCTCCTTATGTGCAGCAGGTTCTTGCTGATTAGCTTTGGAATCCCTGGTCCCTGACAGTATCTCTATTTCCAGCCAAAAAGGCAACTCTTGATGGTTAATGCTAAATTAATAAAAATTGAAGTTAACAGCATTTTTATGTTATTCCTTGGATTCTTCATCGATTTCCAATAACAACAAACACAGTCCCCCAAAATCAGAATATATCTGTTTTCAAAAGTTTTCATAGCCAGAAGACAATCCACCTAAGTCCTTCCAGGTGTACAATTTATCAGACTACAAAGATTAACTGTTCTTGCTGCTGTGGCAGAAACTTTTAAGCCTAGGAATAAATCAGTCTAAACCAAAAATGAGATAGAAGACAGGAGATGACTCCTGATTAGGAGCACAAAGAAAATGTGCTCCAAAGTTTTGCTATATACTTTTTTTTTTTTTTTAATGTGGGCAGTATTTAGCTAGATAGAGGAAACATTCCTAAAAATGTAGAAAATAAAAGTAGCTAGGAAATAATAATAGGAACTGAGCAAAACTGTTAAAGGAGCTGAGATAATTTAAACATTTAATAACATAATGAGTATTTTCTTACAAAGATCTTAACAGTTTTATCTAGTTGAATTACTGAACATAGTTTCACAACTGCATTCAGATAGATATATGAAAAAAAAATATTTTAAGTGCATGCCTCCTAAAGTAAATCTGACATGTATATTGTAAATGCTTGGAGTGCACTATTACAATTCTTATCATTAAAGTGTGTTTACCTTAAAAACATTTAACTTTCAAACATTAGTAATTTAGAGAATCACTTTAATAGTTACTTAAGTAAACAAAACCAGAGAGAGAAAAAAAAAATGGTTGCTGTAACAGAGCTTTTACAAACAAATGCTCTCTATAGCCACAGCAGGTGGGATTTTAATTACATGCTCCAGAAGCAGTGATTAAGTACCTTCATGCAAAGGATTGCTGGCACTAGGGTTTTATACCTTGCTAAATCCCTCAACTGCCTGCATAGTGTGTGGAATTAGCTGTTTTCAAGTGGTTTTAATTTTATTGTAATATTTGATGAGTTGTTGTTATAAGGGCAATTAAAAAGCATTGGAATGCTTGAGTTGGGTCAGCATTGAAAGATTTAAAGAACTTTTCCACTGAAGCACTTGAGCATGTGCTTAAGTCTTCCATCTGGTCAGTTCATGTGCATAATGTGTGATAAGGTAAGAAGTACTTTGTAAGTTGTTAAATATATTTACTCCTACTCAGAAGAAAGCAGAAATAATGATGTTTATATCTTGTTAGTTAACATTCACTGATCTGACAGTGAAGTGCTAGTTTGTTCTTAAAGAGAGAATATTTTTTAGCTATTTGAAATATCATTATGTATATGGTGTGTGATAGCTGACTTCCACCTGTTTGCTCAGCTATGGAAGAGTTTATTTTGAACTGTTGAGCATTTTTGTTTTGTAATAGGGTAGTTTGTATTGGTGGAGATGGATCTGTCAGCGAAGTTGCTCATGGTCTGCTACTTAAAGCCCAGATAGATGCTGGAAAAAACACAGACTATATACCAAAGCCTGTCAGAGCACCGGTTCCTCTTGGAGTAATACCAGCAGGTGAGACTAAAAGGTACTGTTAAATTTTTAAGTCATCTGTTTTAAGTCCCCCTGGCATGTTTTACAGTTTTGGCTACTAAAAACAGTTCTTGGTGCTAAAGCTTCAGTTACTTAAGGGAGCTATTGAATAAATGTCCTAAAGTAGTGATTTAGATTGATTACAAATGAGTAGATTTTAAATAATTATGATAATTTATAGTAATGGCACAGATGAGCTCTTTGCCTAAAGGAAGATGCTCAGGAAGAAGAAAACTAAAATAATTTTCAGCTAATGCATGCAAAAATAAGTTTTGTACTTAATTGCTGCCACAAATGATACCAAATGAAAACTTTGTTTTCTAGAATTTCCTTAGTATAAGCCATGTCCTTTTGCTTCTCTCTCTAGTTTTCTTGGCAGGATTCTCAGTTGCATTCATACTTAGGATCTATTTTTAAATGGTGTCCCAGGAATATATTTTGTGGATTATATCAAAAAAGATAAAATATTGTGCACATGAAACTCCTTTACTTTTACAGACCTGAAAATATGTGTCTGTCTTGAAAAAACTTCTTGCTCCCTTATCAACTTGTACTTGCATCTTTTGGTGTGTTTTGTTTGTTTGCTTTGGGGGTTGTATGTGTCATCCTCCTCCCAGTTTTTGTATTTGCCCTTCTTGGAGTATAAATTTGGCCAGACAGGGAGGCTTAGCTAGAATGAGTACAGGCAGGGATGATTCTGCACTGGTATATGAATCACTACTTTTTAAAGGAGGAGGGGTATTTTTGCATTGACACTACCCTCTGGTGTGGATGTTGATGTAACTACTTGATGTAATTTCTCAGATGTTTTTAATTAGTAAGGAAAAAATTCCTGCAGCCAGGTGAACGGCAAATCATTGCTTTCAGTTTTCTGTAAGAAAGGAGCAAGTCGCTGCTGAACTGAGCAAGCAGGTTTTAGGTGTTCTGACTTGCTTTGCACTTCTAAAAGCAGCATTAAGACAGGGACTAGTTGATTATGAAAACACAAGATGACACTAGCTTTTTTTAAATTAAGAAAAATGGAAATGTATTGGTAAAAGATACAGTAATCTCAAAGAGATGAAGCAGATGAATTTTAGTACAGCAGTTGGACCATCACTTATCAGTTTAGTTGCTGTGAATATCTTGGCGATGTTGAAATGGAATCACTGCAGCTCTTGACTCCATGCTGTTTGGGCATGCTTAGGTCACTGTGCCTCACCATCAGTGCTGGCTCCCTTTAGTTTAAGGCAAATACGTCAGGATCAGAAAGGATTTTTAAGCCCAAGGGAATGCTGTATGGCTTGTTACGTAGAATGCCACAGACTTTGTTAAAAGAGATTGACAGCATTTTATAGAATGATAGTGTGAGAAACTCCTTAATTGGTTCTTATAAATAATCTTCAGCTTATTTTATTTCCATATGAATGATATTCCAACAAATAGTTAGAAAATAAGTATGATACTTGTTTATGTGAAGGAGGTGGAACTCAATGGTCAATGTATTTCTCCACATACTGCCCCGCCTGCCCCAAAAACCCATTGTACCAAATTAGGATTCTCCAGCCAAGTAAAAATAGAAACTGTATTACAGGATAGCATTATTTGAGTGGCTTAAAAAAACCTTGTTTTAGCCTTTATTTTAAGTAGTTAAGATAGTGTTTTGAAGTTTCAACTTGATGGGAAGGAGCTGCTCTTGAAACAGTTTACCTCCTGAAGAGAAAGGTCCAGAGGGGAGTGTGTTTTCACTAAAATACTCTACTGAGCTGCCTTATTCTGGTCCAGATCAAATGGATGAGATGTGGGAAGCCTGCAGTTGTACTGCTGGCCATTAGCAAGAGTGTTTGTTGCTATGGGAACTACTGCTAAGAAACTGTACGGAGGGGGAATGGGAGAAAGGGGAGGGGGAACTGGAAGGACATTAAAAAATCTATCCAGTTGTTACAGAACAAGAGACAATCTATATCTGATGGCTGTGAACCTTTTGGTCTTCAATGGTTCATTTAAATAAATTCATAATTTCCAATTAATTCTGAAAATAAAATACTACTGAGGGACTGTTAATTTCTGTGATATTTCAGGCAAAGAACCAAAATATTGGTGCAGTTTTCATCAGAATTTTAGCTATGCTTGACTAGGAAGTCATTACATCACATTTATCTGTTTGGATGGGGGAGACATTAACAGCCTTATGAATATTCATGTTGTCTGGTTAATTAAGTTAATTGTACTGCAGAAGTGCTTGCACTTCCAAGGACAATTTTTTTCTCTACAATTTCTGTTTGGTACCTTCATCAGTCATGCTTTACATGACCTGCAGATACTTTGTCCTTACTGTGATGCCTTTGCATATTTCATAGGAAGGAGTTTGTAGGAAGTTGGTTGTAATGTCAGGAAAATAGGTTAGTATTTTGAACAGAGTTATATTTTTTGGAATAATAAAATCCTCTCTGTTTCTGTTTAAAGAAATGCTGGTGATAGAGATGCTGGTGTCATATGGATGAAACCTTTTTTACATTAAATTGAGTAGTTGGAGTGAAATCTGAAAGTGTGACTGTTAGTAACCTGAGGGGTGCAAGCCCATATATGAGCATCAAAGAAGGTTATTAGTCTCTGAAGTAATACGGTAGTGTTTAGGGGAACCATTTTGTTATTGGTAGATAATATTCCAAGTTTACAAAGGGGGAAAAAAGATGACTTGAGAAGATAAATAATGGCATTGTTATAGAATCACCACTTAAATCAGCAAAGCTTGTATTATGACACTTTTTGTATGATAACTTTCACTGTTTTCACTGTTTATAAGCTTTTTTTTTTTTTTGGTGGCATCCTGCTTGTATAGGACGTAGGTAATGAGACACATGATTCAGTCATCATTGAGATCACAGTGCTGTTAGGCATGTATTAAAAGTTTTTTTTAGAGAAGGTGATGGTACTTGCTACTACAAAACTGTGCTTGTTCTAGGTCTTCAACTTGTGAAAGTCTTTATGCAGTACGTTTGTTTTCAAACACAGGCAGAACTTGTTTTATTTTCCCAAGAGTCCTGAAAGGGTGGAGTTTTGCCTTGTTTACTTCTGCAAATGTTAATGAGCTCCACAGATTTAAGAGAAAGATGCAATTATTTGTGCCTATCCTGTTTAGTAGGAATAAGATTTAACTCTCATTAAAGTCGGTATGAAGATTGGTATTGACTTCAGCTGCGGTCATTTGTTATCTTGCTGCCATCTGTATTGACAAATTACTCTTACTTAAATGAGGAATCCCAGTTTTAAGACATACCAAGCCTGATCTTCAGAAGTATATTTCACTTTGTGCTGTTTTAATAGCTTGATCTTCAATGACAAGGAAAGATTTTTTTTCAGAATAACAACTTCCCTGTTGTCAATTTACAGGAAATAAACATATTTTGCATGATTTGTAATGATCTGCTGCTTGTGTGTGTGATTTCCTTTGTTTTGGAGAGGTACCCATAAAAGTTAAGTGTTGTAAAGATTTGATTGAAGGAAGTATTTGAGTATTTTTGAGCTATTTCTTTAGCTAGCTTCACTGGTTAAGCAGAATTAGTTGGATCTAGAGGTTAAATCTCCTAAATCATTCAAACATGAAATGGTATTGGGCATATACATCTATTATTTTGTGAAGAATTGCTTTTTAGGTCAAACCTAAATTTTTTTGTCCCCAAATTTTCCTTATAGAACTGTATTTTATGTTCACCGAATTGATACCATTTACTATGCAAGAGAGTGACATTTTTCTAGAGCTACAATTTTACCTTTTATGAGTGTTGCACCAGAAGGAAAGTTCAAATCACTTTGAATTGTTGGATATGAATTATTGGATATAAATGATTGAAATTGTAATTTTTTAAAAATAAACTGGACTTCCCCTTAGTGTCTCTAGAGAGATTTTCTTTTGGGAGCAAAAAGCAAAGACTTGCATTTAGCTTTTGATGTCAGTTTATCCTTATTCAGAGAAATTACTGAAAAAAATCTAAGCATATACTCCTGAATAAGAATGACAAGATGCCATTAGAACTTTGTAATTATGTACATTAGTCTTTCCAAATTTAGTATTTTTTTCTACCACTAATGTAACATCAGAGATTGCAGAGTTTTGGGATGAACATGATTTTTCAGTCCAGTACATGATGCTTTTAAAGTGCTTATTTAAATATTGAGTGCCTCGTGTTTGAAATGTGATAGTCTTTCCCTTTCCTGTCTTCTCTCCCTCACTTTTGAAAGACAAGTTTAAATGTATCCACATAATTTAGGGCAAATTTGGCATGCAGAATTGTCTATTGCTGCTGTTAACATATTAATGCAAGCAACAAGAAAATTACTTGAAAATCTAAGTGAACTCATTCCTTTATGGAAAGTTAGGTTCTAAATTGTTCTTCTGTAATTCTTGTTATTTTAATTAATCTGTTATTGAATTATTCATCCCTTAATCAATGATATGAAGAAGGTCAATATTCTGCCTGATGGGTGTCGGGCTCTGGTTCTTTATTTTTGCAGAAGTAAATCCTATGGCTTTGCTGCTTGGCTAAGAAACATCAAAGATGTGATCAATGAGAAAAGTCAACTTGAAATTCTGTTAAAACAATACCCATTTAGGAAAGACACAACCATTCCTTGTTCAGGATTTAAAAAATAACTTGATGTTTAAGTCAGCTGATACACAGTATTTTATGTCCTATACATTGAAGCAGAAGGGCAAAATTTACATTTATATCCATGTTTCTTACACAGGTAAAGCGACTTGACATATCAATCACCACCAAACATTGGGCCTCCAGGACCATGCTTCTTTCTTTTGCAAACTGATAGCTAGTTTGCCATTCTCTCTTCCAATTTCACACTGAAGTTGCTAGTTCTTGACTTTTTTTTTTTTCCTATTTACCTGCTGATTTATTACTCATTCCCTAGTTTCAAAATAAATTAATATCTTCTATCCAGTGGCTAGTAGTACAATTTATCTGCCGATGTCCAGGCAATGACAAAGACAAGTTAAATGAGTCCAATTTTAATGCACTGAATGCCAGTCAACACTTTTTCAGACACACGTCAAATTCTACATTCTCTCTGTTTTTCAGTTATTAATGTGTTCTTATATGTAAAGCTGACGTGCAATAATTAGTTTTAATTGCTACTACTTCTAAGAATCTAAAATGTAGCCTGTAAGGAGCACAGCAGTTATCTTACACTAGATCTAGTAGAATTTTGTCTGGGAAATGTACAGTTTTACACTGGCTGGGTTTTATATTATTTCTCCAATTTAAAAATATTCCCCAAATATATCTTACTAGATAATCTGCCTTCTAGTACAGTTCCTCAGTACAGTAGTTAGGTATGGAAGCGGTTTTTAAGGAGATAATTTGAAAAAAAAAAAAAAAAAAAAAAAGGAGGGGGGGGCACTTTTTGCAAAGTTTTCCTCCTCCCTTCCCCACCCCGCCCCTTGTTTTTTATGGCACTTATGAATGAATTTGAAGAGAAGACTTTATAGATCTCTGGAAGTTTTAATGGTTTTAGTTTGTACTATTCAGCATTTCTACTGTTACCAACACTAATTTGTGAAGAGGGTTTGTTTTATTGAAAATGCTGTAAATGTCTTGGTTTCTTCATTCAAAAATGTTATATATTTTTTTCTGGTGTTATTCTGCATCTCTCTCATTTTTACAACAGTTTGTGTTCACCTTTACAGGTTCTACAAATATTTTGGCCCATACTCTGTATGGTATTAAGCATGCAGTGACTGCAGCATTGCACATTGTAATGGGTAAATATTTTTACATACATTATCAGACTTTAAATAATAAAGCAATATTTAGAAGTTTGCCATAACTACTTGTTTAACAAAGACATAGCATTATACCATATTAATGTAAACCATATTGTAAGACTTTTAAACCCAAATGATTCTATCCTGATTTATAGCATACTGGAAAGGTTATGATTCTTTGAATATAATTCAGTAGCAAAGGTTGTGGATCTCGTCTTCTGGTATCTAAAATCTGCTATGGAATAATGTCTGATTTTGTTATTCATTCCCTATTACTGATGTTCTTTTAATGCAAAAAGTAACCTTTTCCAGACTTGTGTGAATAGTGTTACTATGTGTGTGTTATTATGCAATGATTGGTTGCATAATCACTTGACTATTTCAATTTAATGTGCCTGCTGAAGACAATAGGAAAATATACAATACTTCAGTTTGAGGAAGTGGTCAGGATTAGACTTTCCAGGAAAGTATTGTCATATTTCTGAGAAAGTATCATTCATCTTTTTAGCTCCGTGTGCATTTCTCTTAGAGAATTGTTAATGTTTAAGAAAGCTTTATTAGTAGAAAAAACTGTATCACTTGCAGTTTGATCTGCAAAATAAATAGGTTTTTGAATGTGAAAATGTAATTATGCTAAAAGGAAAAACTAGGTTGCTAGTGCAAACCTTATTTTCAGGTTTTAGGAAATACCAAATACTTAGTTGAGCAATATTAATATTCCTCTCAAAGCAATTTTTCCTTAGGAAGCTATTTTTTTTTCCTGAAGAAAAAAAAAAAGAATAATGGGGAAAGTCTATCTTGAGTATCTATTTTCTAGACCTTGCAGTCATCAGTGGAAGAGCCTTTGCTCTATTTCTTAGATAGATTTTGCCTGTAAAGGTTTGTGTATTACTAAAACTTTATTTTTTAATCAGAGAAACTCAATCTAGTGGAAATCACCCAGGTTCTATTACAGAAGAAAATTGTATACCCCCTCTTGAACACAATTATATGTCTAAATTCTATAACTGTAAACATAAATACATTAAAAACCTATATTTAAGCATTCTGATATCTCCTCCAATACAATGTTCAGTCATTACAAATATTTCGTGAAATGGTAGCCAATATTTGTGTAGCAGTATTACATTTTCTTTAATACTAATTGTTGGAAAGTTGAATAGAATTGTCAGACCCTTTGCAGCCTGATGAAGTAGCTGAATTTTTGCCATAAGTTTTTAAATATTTTGATGCATCTGAACTTGGTTCTCCAAAATGACTACTTTTATAGTCTTCATTAAATCTAAATTGATTCTGGTTCCCATTAGCAAAACTTGACTTCCTAAAGAGGGAAGAGTCTGGAGTTTTTTCCTCACAGCTAAGTTAGGCGAAAAAGAAACAGTAAGTTGTACTCTATTTGAAATACAGATGTTGTTTGTAATTTCTGGTCTTTAACTTTGAAATTTTAGGGCATATTCAACCAGTAGATGTCTGTACTTTCAGTACTCCAAGCAAGCTGTTGCGGTTTGGATTCTCAGCTATGTTTGGTTTTGGTGCAAGGACTCTAGCTTTGGCTGAAAAACACCGTTGGATGCCCTCCAATCAGCGGAAGGATTTTGCTTTTATCAAAACCCTGGCAGATCTCAAGTATGCCATGAGCTGTTATATTTTTCCAGTATTTCTCATTTTCTTGAGGAAAATGCAATAATTCATGTGATAAAAATAGAGACAACAGTACTTCATCTGTCTTGACTTCTTAATTGCAGACAGATTTAACTCAGATGTGATGCATATCCCTCTTAGAGGAGATAAATTCTGTATATTCAGCACCTCCTTAAAATCATCTTAACTTGGATAAAAGTCTGTCTAGCAGTCAGAATATTGGTTTACATGATAGTAAATATCAATACTTTTCTAGGCCAGAGGAATGCGAATTATCATTTCTACCCGTACAAATTCCACAGGAAGACTTTCATGAGAATGTCAAGTAAGTAAAATGGAGTCAAGCAATTCCCAAGCTACAAAAATATGTGTCTTTAAAGATAAAATTGTATAAAATCTTAATTTTGTTCAAATTTGATCATCAGGTAAAACAGTAATTAAAAAAAAAAATATTTTGACAACTGCAAACTTGTCCACTTTGTAAAACGTACCCTATAGACTATAGAGGATTTGTTACAAAGCTGTCTTCTGCTCAATGTTATTGGCTTGTTCAGTTCCATAAATATCTTACTTTTTTCCTGAGGAAGATGTTGTTTAAATGTGCTAAAATGATTAAAAATTATTTTCCCTACATGTTTCCACTCTTTTAGAAAGAAGAAAGAGAAATTAAAAAAAAAGGGTGAGTGCTTTTTTTGATTATTTACAAGTGAACTGTGGCTGGTTAAGCTGGAGTAATATAGAATTACTCTGTTATATTTAGGTAGCAAGGATCAATGGCACAAAATTCAGGGTCACTTCCTGAATGTGAGCATTATGGCAATCCCTTGTCTGTGTTCAATGGCACCAAGAGGCTTGGCACCTAATACGAGGTCAGTAGGGGTTTAGAGAATTAGTCATGTCTATAAATTCTGACATCTTACCTTAAGACCTTGGCTTTTCCAAGAATACAGCCTGTGTTTAGGTAGTCTAGACTCTCTGGAATGGGGGAGGGAGCACGGGCTGCAGCAGACTTGATAATCTCAGGAATTGTAATCAGTTTTTGGATCAGGCAAATAAGGTCAAGCAGTGTAACTAGAATAATGAGTGGATAATTGCTGTGATTAAATTAGTTAGCAAGTCTGATTTAAGTAGTAGTCATCAAGGAATCATCTGTTATAGGATTTGGCTATATGTAGAAACTTTGTTCTTGGATTTTATTTTATTTTTTTCAAATATAAAGATGCCCCTCATCATCTGCTTTACTTACAGTAAAAATGAAGTATAGATCTTTCTTCTGTTAAGAACAACTGAAATACATCGTTTGTGTTCTGTTTTTTTTTGTTTTTTTGTTTTTTTGTTTTTTTTTCTCCTCTCCTGAACTTTGGAAGTGCAGCTTCTACATGTAAGGTTTTGGGAAACAAATGTGTATGTAATTTGGGTGTTGACTCGTTTTGCCTTTAGCTCATTGTGAAGAGCATGCTTTGTGGTGATTAAAACAGCTGTCATGTGATAAATATTTGTACTTGATGTATCCAGTTGACAATTAAGCAGAATAGCAAGTACAAACTTTGTAGTTGTACATGAAATACAACACACTACCTCAAAAAAGAATGCAGAAACTCATATATGTGTGTGTGTGTGTTTATGCATAACTATTGAAAAAAAAACCCCCAACACTCAGGAAGGTTTATGGAATGAGGCTGTTTTGTTACATTTGATTATCATTAGGTAAAAATAGATGTGCCTTAGAATTAATCAAATATTTTTCTTCAAAATTACTGGCTCATCTGGTAAAATTTGACTTCTTGGAAGGAATGTAGAAACAAGTGTTTTTGATTAAACTGTTATTGAGAAGTTTTCTTTGCTACAGGGGTTGTGCTAAGCCTTAGGTACCTCAAAAGAGTGCCCTGATGCTCTCTGGGGTTAGGAACTTACTCTGCTCAGCATTTGGTGTGTTGTTGTACCAGTCAGTAGAAAAACTCTGACACGAATTGACGAAATAATTCTTTTTTAGCTTTGCTTTCTCTTTCCATCTGTTCTGGCACCTGTTTCTCAGTGATAGGGAATTTTATGACAACCCCATGCAATTATTGGAGGTCTGAGCCTGTTTCTCCCACAGTGTAGTTGCTCAGTGGATTCCCCTGTCCTTTCATAGAAGGGCATCATTTTTTTCATCTCTTTTTAAAAATAATCTTAGGAGTGCAGTCAGCTAGTTGGGTCAGAAGAGTAGACTCTTCAAACAGGTGCTTCATTTCTCATAGTGAATAGTATCTTGACTATAAGGTTTTTCAGTACAGCGAACATAAATGTTGCACTGACTGTTAGAGACTTGAGACCTGTTATGGAAGCATCAGCTAAACTCAGCTAGGTTTCTTTACTCTGTCCTATTTTCCCCAAGACATTTTTGCCATGTAAAGGCATTTGAAGTGGAATGAAAGCTTTGACTGCTTCCTGTAGCTCTAGTTATACTAGTCTAAATTTGCAGAAACATGTCAAGACACATTTAACTTTCTACGCTATGTGAGCCATGTGGAACATTTGGTTCTCGCAGCATAGGTGGTGTGCTTTGCTGCAGATTGGACTTTCAAGAGAATTAATGAGAATTCTTAGTCATCTCTGAAGATAAAAGACCACGGTGCCAAATGCATTGCCCAATAGCCTGCTGTGCCCTTTTGTTGCAGCAAATATGATAAGGAGGCAACTTTTTTCGATTTTACCATCACTGTTTTCTAAGTCAGCAAAGTAATGCTATACCAGGTGCCTTGCTTAATGGTTATATAAAAATTACCTTCCTAGATTGTGCTGTATCGTAGTCTGAGAACATTCCTGATGCAGTTGTTCAGTAGCCAGAGAACTATGAGTGGGGTGAGATCCATGGTGGCAGGCTGGAAGTATTTTTTTAAAACATTCTTAACATATTTTCCAAGTATACATGCTGAATAAATAAATATAGGTATGCATGCATATATATATTCAGAAGATGTGAAATACCTCATCTCTATATAGAACACAGTCTCAGCAGTGATTGTCAGGTTTGTCAAATACTCCTGGTGAATATTGATTTGTCTCTACAACATAAACAGGACTTGGGCATGATTGCATTGACACTCAGGTTGTTAGCTTCTGCGACAAGGTACCGTTACATTAAGGAATCTGCAAATTGATGCTAGCTCATTGTCAGACACAAATTCTCAAAGATGCTAAAATATCAATGGTGACTGGATACCAAGGGCCATTGAATGTCTGCACTGTAGGGTCTCTTGATTAATCTCTAGTATATGACTCTTGTCTTGTGCAAAATTCCATTAGTTTTTAACTTTTATGTGCTTTGTGAAATGCATAAGTAGAACTGTACTGGGAACTGTTGAGTTCTAATAGCAGCAGAGTTGAAGATCAGGATCTTTGTTAGGGCAGCATGAGTGTTAATGGAGGAGGTGAATGAACCCATCTGCACTGGGTTTTATGATGGGGATGTGCTTCCATGCATGGGAGTGGTTTCTTGGTAAACCTCTGCCTCACAGAATTTATGGTAATCATTATACTTTGCTGAAGAGAAAAGCAGAAAGATAAATTTGTGATCCCCAGTGTTTAAAAACCATCTGTTAAATAGAAAACCAGGTATTTTTAAATTATAGGTACTGCATTTAATAAATTATGGCTATTGATAAGGGAGTACAATTCTATTATTACAGTGTATGTTATATTGATGCAAATTAACCTCAATTGCATAGTTTATATTTGATCTATGGGAGGGGGGAGGCAAAAAGATTAAAAAAAAACATTGAGTCATTTCTATTAATTTGCTAGCTTTTGGTTTTTTGTTTTTCTTTTAATCTAGACTATCAAAGAGCCTGTTAAACTTCCAAATTAATTAATTTTCTTTTGGGAACTAAACTGGTCTGCTTTTCAGGTTGAATAATGGAAGCATGGCTCTTATTGTTGTACAAAATACTTCTCGAACAGAGTTTATAAAACATCTGAAAAGATATGCCGGCGTGAAAAATCAGGTACTGTTAATTTCTTTCTGGTGATTATTAAAAGAACAGTTAATTGTGAAGATAGACATGCTGCAAGAGTTAATGTTAGCATCCTCATAAGGAGACTTAGCTTTCTGTCAGAATACATTAGCCCCTTTTTCATCTGATTCTTTTTTTTTTTTTTTTTTTTTTTTTAAATCACTAGACTAATACCGATTAGCCTATTTCATCCCATCTGTTGTGGTTTAAATTGTATTTTTGTCATACCATAATTTTATGGGTGTAAAGCCCTTTCCCCATAATAAAGGAAATGTATGCTGTGTGTAAATTTTGTGTGGTACAGAGATCAGGAACGCAGACTGGGGGGCATCATTCAGCTCTCTGTCAGAAACAGGTAAAGTCCATAATTTGAGCGGATCACTGCATGCTATGCTGGTAGCAATGGATTATAACCACTGATTTTTAGCAGGTGTGGATTTCACCTCGTTATGAATGTTTGCAGAATTACATTTCAAAATTATGGTCGTTATTTTGTCCTTGAAGAGAAAAATGAAGCATCCAAGCACAGTGCCTTGTTGCTGTCCTAAATACCTAACGCATAGCCTAAGCACACTGGTACTCATTCAGATGTTTAAGGATTATGTGAAATCACTTTTACAAGACGGTTTCGGTTTGAATTGGTCAACAGTCAGAGTTTTGGGGAGAGGTAGATGACAGTTCCATGTGACAGCACTAACAGCTGCATTTAGGAAACAGTGTATGCTTTCCAGTTATGCTTGTGGAGGAAGGCTCTGCTTTTCTCTCTGCCTTTGGAGTTAGAAATTAGACAAGGAGATGTGGACCCTCTAAACCCTCAATTTAAGATGACCATTTATTAGAATTCTAACTAGCCATGTTCACGACAGGATTATTGGTAATGATGAACAGAGCACAGGAAAAAATCTGCTTGGACTTTCACATATTCTGAAAGCATGTGCTGTTTTGGTGCGTGCAAAATATATTCGCCTCACCTGTAGATTGAGCAAGTCTGATATGGGAATGCAAATAGAACACTACCAGTTTTTCTGAAGCACTATTTAGGATAAAAACAGCACATTAATCTATAAATGCTAGCTGAAATATATAATGCCTCATGTGGTCAAAGCTTGAGTTAAGTGTTCCCATTTACTTAAAAAGCTTGCTGCTTTTTTTATTTCAAGTAATCCTGTTTGTTGCTAGGCTACCACCTATATCTTTCATCTTCTTTTAATATATATCTGTGTTTGGTTTAGTTCAATTTTCCCTTTGTTGAGACCTACACAGTTCAAGAAGTAAGAGTACAACCAAGGCTTAACAGTGGGCTTGATGCCAAAGAAAATATGTATTTGAATGCTGCTTCTGCAGAAGGAAATTATCCTTGGAATATAGATGGAGACTTAATGAAAGAAGCATCAGAAGTTCATGTTCGGTAAGGCTAAGTATTATGTTTACAGACTGTGTACCTGTAACAGATTAGTACTGCAATCTTAAATGTATTACATCTGTATATAACACAGATGACACCAAAATTGGGTGTTATAAATGCTCTAACAGCACAGCTGTGCATTGCAGTCTGGCCCTTGTGTCATTGTTTGGGCCTCTGCCTGGTTGCCTTGTGCCCATCTTTGGAAATGTTTCTTATGACCGACACGGCCTCTCCTTTCTGGTGCTTCATCAGCTTCCAGCCCCACTTCTCTTCTGCCTGTTACTTTTACCCTTCTGTTTCTTAGAGGTGAACAGATGCCTATAAAGGTCTGTGACTCCTGGAAGAGCTATTTTTGGGACAAGGATTCCTGCTTGGAAAGCAGTGTGTGTAAGGTTAATAAGAACACATAGTTGTTCAACTGTGGGAAACTTAGTGCTGCTTGAGAATAGTCTCCGTATCTAGGATGTAAGAAAGAGTCTATGAATACATAAGGAAAAAGGAGGGTTATCAGTGGAATTAAATGGGCAGTGGCTTGTTGTTCTGCAATGCACACGAGATTAGTTCTAAGCACAGAGCTCAGAACCGGTCTGGAATGTAAAATAAAAGGCAGATAATGTTACAGGATATATAATATATACTTCCAAAGGTGACCCTATAGGAATTGTCAAAATGCAATTCACCAGATTTTATTCCATATAGCAGTTCATATATATTTGTTCTCCTGCCCCCCCCCCCCAAAAGTGGCACACCCATCGCAAGAGTTAATGAAATTGATAGAAGTTTGACTTCCTCACTTCACAGGGTGCATCCTCAACTGATTAACCTCTATGGCGTGAACACTGATGACCTGGAGAGTTCCCAAGCAACGTGCAATTGCATATAGAAGGGACACACTGCAAGTTCTGTATTAAAGAATCCTTTTCTCACCTCTATGCACAGCTTTCCAAGGTCCCAGTCTTTCACTCACTGAATCCAGTTGTTGTAGCAGAACCTTAACTTGTATTGTTATTGTAACAATAATACTTGTTTGTAAGATTCCTGGTTTTAAATTTTTATCAAGCTGTATATTTTTATCAGGTCATATTTAACTATAAATAAATTGTTAGGCTTAACAAGAAAAAATGAAAACTGATTATATTGGTCTCTTATAAACTTGGGTTCAAGAAGTATCCGTAAGAATAGAATATTTTTTTCCTTTAAAATTATTCTAGCTTTTGCAATAAATATAGTTTGAGATACTTTTAAGTTTGCTGCTGCTTATCCATGTTGTCGGGTAAATCAGTTCAAATAGAGCTGGTGAGTGGAGGTAGGTACCACCTCATGCTGAAGAATGGTGGCAAAATAATTTTTTTTTTAAAATAAAGTACTTCCATTTCTAGTTATAATTTTTAATGTTGCCTTAATATATTTGCTTTTAAATAGTTTCTAGTCAAACAGTAATACAAAAGAATATGCTGATATCCTATATGGCTTTTCTTTGTTGAAATGTATTTTAAGGACTACTCTTTGTACAAAATAAATATTTTAAAATATTTTATCTATCCTAGAACTGAAATTATATTTAGCGTAGCTTTTGTTGAGAATAAATTTATGATAAATTACTGAAAGTTGATTTAAATTTTTATAACTTTCTTATAGGGCATGAACAGTTTTTGAGTTTTTTTTTGTAACTGATTAAATAGTTAATACAATTATTTGAGATGACAGCAAATTAAGACTATATTCTTTCTGGGAACTTGCTTTCTCTGAGATGATGAAGAGTAGCAGACCAGTAAGTTTGTCCCTCTGCAGGACCATGGGGATAATGAACGTTTTCCTGGGCACTTGTCTATGAATTGTTCAGAATGTGGCTGGCAAATAATAGTGTGAAAGCTGCATTATCTAGTGGCCAGAATGAGTTAAGTTTGTTCTTCAGTAAGCAGTCGAGTATAATGTGAAATCCCGTCCTTCAAGGATTTGTTAAATCAAGCCTTTACAAGGATCTATAGCTACTGTATTGTATTAGACTTTAAATCCCAGTGAGAAGTTCTTACATGTGAAAAGTACGCAAGACAAAGTACTGTACCTGAAGTACTGCAGCTGATGATTTGTTTCCTAAGAACAAGCTGCTACTTGTTGGAAACCTCATGCGGTTTCTGCAGACAAACCTGGCCAGTGGTAAAGGCCAAATCCATAGACAAGCAAATGTCTGCTTCGTAGGCACCTCATTGTCATGGGAATCTTACAGCTAGTTCTGCTCTTTGCACCGGAGTTAGTGGCTGCAGAGCAGGCCTGAGGCCACAGCAGCCTTGGGGCTGGCAGGGCCCTGGCAGGGCTCTAGCCCAATCTCCTGCTCGAGCAGGTCCAGTTGCTCAGGGCTTCATCCAGTCCAGCCCTGAAACCTCCAAGGATGGAGACAACACAACCTCTCTGTGCCCCTGTTCCAGTGCCTGGCTGTCCTCATAAGGAAAATGTTTTCCCTCATTTCCAGTTGGAATCGCTCATTTCAGTTTATACCCATTGCCTTAGTCGCAGTGAGCAGTCTCCGGTTAAACTACTTTAACTGACACTATACCACATCGAGTATTTTTAATGTGTTAATTCAAACTGAACTTCTGAAAGTTGTCTAAGAAGGAGATTCTAGCTACAGTTAGTAGATTTAACTGTTTCTACTACATAGCTGAAAATTAAAAAAAAATAGTTGAACTTACAGAAGAAACAGCATTTAGGTGCTTAACTTGGGTTTTTTTTAATAAAATGAAACCAAGTGATACTTTGTAACCTTGCCACCCTCAGGACATTGCACACTCACTTTTTGTCAACCAGGTTTACAAAAGCAAAGTGAATTTTGCTTCGTATCCTAAGAACAGGCAGCCAACATGTACATGTTAATAATAAAATCTGAATAGGAAGTACACAATTTCCAAGGCAACATTATCACATTTACTGACTTACATAAACTACTGCAAAGATAAATAAAATGCTTTAGTTTCACTTTCTTTGCATTGTTTGTATTAATGGATATTAATGCTTCTTCCGGTATTTGAGGTATATTTTTCACACTATGCTGTAATATCAAACTAATTTCTGTTCAAAGATGTTTTGGTTAAAGTGCAAAAATTCACTAAAGCTACTTGGAAGAGAAGCATTTTGTGTATATTTTCAGAGACATGCAAGAAAATATTTAATTTTTCACATACTTTTTGATTAAAAAAAAAATATATGCACATTCATTTGTCCTTATGCTCAGATTTTAGAGAGAAAATTTACTTTAGAGCGATCCACATCTTTGGCACTGAATGAAGTGAAAGGAAATTATAAAATGGTCCCCAATACCTTTAAGAATCTGTGGACAGTGTGGCTTTTATGGCACCAAACACTCTATTAGCAAAGGTGCTGGTTGAAGTCACTCTGTATTGCTTTTGAGTCTCAGGTTTAATTCCCAGAGAATGGTGCAGCTTCAGCCTGTATGTACGCATTACATTCATTTCTCCTTGCAGTTC